CTCTCCAGTTTCGCTTCTCGGAAGCCCTGGCTTGCGTGTGACCCTCTTCCCGGTGCCACGCTGCCCTGAAGAGCGGCCTTCCTCAGCATGACCTTTTCCCGAGAGGGCAAGGGCGGCAGGCCTGCGGGGCGGGGCAGGCCGCGGTCTGGCGTGTCCAGTTTCCGCTCACAAGTCCTGCACGCTTTTGGCCCAGCATGATTCTCTTTTCAGTCACCTTCTGGTGTAAGACTTCATCTGTCGCGCCCGCCTCCAGGTGCCTGAGTTGGAGGCTCTCACCTTGGCTACCGCCTCCTGCTCAGTCCTGATCTGCTCTCAAGTAATATTTGTTCTTGTGGCTTATTCCACTTACGATGTGCTGACTCATTTCTACTTCTTAAAATTTCAGCTACGTACCTGGAGACCTTTTACCTTCAGTTTTTTGGGGCTCTAACTTTATGTATGTATTTATTTTTGGTGGTACCAGGGATGGAACACAGGACCTTGCGCTTGCCAGGCAAGCTCTTATTCTACTCTTTTGGCTCATTATACTGGCTTAGCGAATTTTTTTTTTTTTTTTTAAATGTGTGTGGCCAGTTCAGCCTGCCTTGGGGGTGGGGCTGGCGTGGCATATGGTGTAGAGACCAAACCACGGTCGGTCCCTGTGCTTGCTTAAGCAAGTGCTTTAGGCCACTGAGCTATGTTGCTGGCCCCCCACCCCTCTTTTTTTGAGGTAGGGTCTCATTTTGCAGTTCAGGCTATCCTTAAACTCAGAGCCATTCTCCTGCCTCTTTCCTGAGTAGTGGGATCACGGGGGTGCACTACCATGCCTGGCTGGCTGGTATACTAGGTGATCTTTGATTGTGAACTGATTGATCTTAATCTGTAGGAGTTTTATTGGGGAAGTTTTCCTCCAGGCGGGGGGGTTCATTTCTGCTGTGGATGAGGTTACTTTTAACCAGGACCACCCAATCCCATTACAGCTCACTCAGGGAAGTCCAGCTCCAGTGAGCTCACCTGACCACCTCACCCCTGGCCTAAGAGCTGGTCCACTCTCTGATGATTATGGCTCCTTAGAAGTCACTGAAGTCTCAAGGTGAAAGGAGGTGACAACTGCTGTGTTTTCTTATTCCTTAGAAGGGGTCAGTTTCCTCTCTCTTGCTGTGACTGCTGTCATCCATTAGTGACAAACTGCCTTCAGCTATTTGTTGGTATCATACCACCAAGTAAGGGTTTGTGCTCAGGGCAGCCTCCCTCCAGGCTGCCTGTCCCTCTTACCCCAATAAACACTTTCTTGATTTTTTTTTTTTTCCCCCTGTGGTACCGGGGATTAAACTTAGTACCCTGCGCTTACCAGGCAAGTGCTTATTCTACTGAGCCATCTTCCCAGCCCCTTTGAATTCTTTTTAAGGGAAAGGTATGTTTTTAAAGACTCCTTGTGAGACCAGCAACACCTTAGCAACATACACAGTACATTGTTGATTGCTTTCGACAATCTTCTGAGCCTGTTGTGTCGTAATGCTGGACATAGAAGTCCTCCAATGTCATATAACTGGTAATCCTGGTTAATAAAACTACTAATACTTGACTATCTTTTTCAGTGTAATTGCCAGAGTTATTTACTATGTAATGTTGAACAAATGATTGCTTATCCTTGTGGATTTGAAGTGTCACAAAGGTAAAGAGGCCAGAATACTGTGCTAATCCCTTTCCACTAATGTCCAAATGCCATTATTTCTGATCATTTTTATTTTTAGTCCCCTGGATTATCATCTTTGGTTTATGACACACTCATCATTGGTCCTTGCCTTAAATACTAAGCTAAGCATTCATGAATACATTATTTCAAATAAAAAGTGAAACTTTGATAAACATCATCCACTGAACTATACAGCGCCTCCTTTCCCACACATTTCTGTCTAACGCATCCGAGATAAGCATCTGAAGCTCGTGCTTGTCGTCCCTGGCTTTCCTCTATAGGCAGTTTTGCTGCATCTATACTTTTTTAAATTAAAGTGACAAGGGATTTGTGCTATATGTAATCTTTTGGGGTTTACTTCTTTCATTTTGCAATTCTGGTGGTCTCTTGAAGACTTTTTTCAAAAATCTCATGATTTTGTCTTTTTACTCATCCTATAGGGCTTGTTCAGGTTTGACATACAATTGGTTGACTTGGGATTTATGTGAGATTTTATAGCAGGTCTTGGAGGATCAAAGGCAGGACAGAAAAATGTAGCCTGCTACCCTGGAGACCCAGCAGGCCACGAGGGGCACCGTCAGTGCTGTCCTTTCATCTGGGAGGTGAGTGTGGTCTTGTTACAGCGCTTCCCTCTACAGCTACACCCAGCACTGGCCTCTGGGTGTGGCAGCTGCCTCTGATGCAAGTGGTAGTTGGGTTACTTGATGAGCGTAAAGACTCCTGTACTTTATTCCCAGAACACTCTTCAGGGGCTTATAAATAGCTGCACAGATGGAAATCATAGTAGTAATAGGCTATCCCATCAACAGCAGCAGGCGCCTTCACAAACCATAAATCTAAGACTATCCTAATCTGTTTCTCAGTTTATATTTTTAGCTCATACTCTGATTCTAACTGCTATTGTTTCTGCAGAAAAAAGTTGTTCTAGGACTGGGGAGATAGCTTGGTGGTCTAAGCGCCACAAGGACCCGGGTTCAATTCCCAGTACCGCATGGCGTGCCAGCCCTAGAACCTCAGGTGTGTAGTGTCAGCCACCAAAACTGGGCATGGTGATGTACATCTGTAATCCCAGTGCTGGGGAGGCTGAGATAGGAGGATCACTACGAGTGCCAGCTGTGTAGTGAAACCCCATACCAAATAGAGAAAAGATTAAAAAAAATTTTTTTTTAAAGTTGTTCTACTCCCTTTGTCCTAGTCTATATCTCAACTTCAAATTCTGACTTTTTCTTTTCATTTTATGTATTTGGTACAGGGTCTCACTACACAGCTCGGACTCCTAGTGTAGTAATCTACCTGTTTTCAGTTTCCCCAGCACAGGGCTTACAGGTATGCGCCTCCATCCCGGACTCAGGTGCCCCCGGGGTAGAGCTGGCACATCATGGAGGACCAGGATTGAACTCTGGTCCCTGTTCTTGTCAAAGCAGGCACTTAGTCCGCTCAACTATCTCCCCTGTCCCCCTGACTTTCATTTTTTGATCTCACACCCTTTTCCCAACCCTCTCAACATTACTACCCTTCTCTTTTCTCTCATTCCCTTTGAATACTATAAACTACTATTGTTAGCACTTACCCATAAACTAAACAGAGATGATTTTAGCACTGAGATAATTTAGCACTGTGTATCTTTTCATCTATCCTAACGTACTGGTCATTTTTTGGCAAGGAGATGGGGCTAGTGTGGTGGGTGGTAATCAAGCTTCATTGCTGGGGCTGGGTCTCCATACCTCCCTACAGTTCCTGGTGGAGGAACAAAATTAGGAAGGGAGAAGGAGACTGGAGTTGGCATTAGGAAGTATTTAGAAACTGCAGCCCACAACGTCTGTTACAGTCTGAAGCCCAGGTTGTTAACCTTGACACTTTGCTGCTATTCTGGGCTGTTCTCAGCTGCCACCCTCACTCTGGCAGATTTCCTTACCTGAGAGCCAAGTGCCCTAGACTAAGTGATACTTACCATGGGCATCCTTGGCAGAACAGTGAGGGACGTGGAAAGTGTTTCCTGAGGCCCAGGTCCTTGCACAGTCTCCTGAGAGATCAGTGCTGAGTTTGGTCTGCAGAGGGACTATCACAGCCCGAAAGTGGGAAGACAATTGGCAAAGTGACCACCCTGGCCCTGACTTGCTCCAGAGCTGAGTTTTTACCCAGTTTTTCCCTCTCTCTGAGATTGATCTTCCTGGCCTGTATTTTCCCCTTAGAATTTGGATTGATTTCTTCACAAAGTCGACTCCCTGGCCTTACACGCCAACTCAATTCTCATATTTCCTTCCCTTGAACTTGGAGTAAGAAAATCCACATTCACCTAATTAATAACCACTGATCTCCTGTATTAGTAGCTCAGAGATGCCATTAGATAATAAGGCAGGAAATGCAGTTCTAGTATCTATGGGCTAGGGCTGTTTCATGTATACTAGCTTACTTTATCCTTGGACTGTCTTGGTAGGTTAGGTTATTTAGCCTTCATATTAGTTTAAAGATGGGTGTGGTGGCACCCATCTGTGATCCCAGCAATGGGAAGCCTAAGGCAGGAGGACTGCTATGTCCAAGGCCAGCCTCTAAAACAAACAAACACAAAACCCTTGTAGTTTAAGGAATTCAAGTTAAGAATCTAGGTTACCTAGGTCCATTCAAGGCCTCAAGCTACTATGAGCTTATGTCTGCCTGCTGCACATTCCTATCCCACCATAGTTTTCAGGGTTAAAACATACATCTGTATGCATCGATTGGGGTCTCATAGAAGCAGGGTGAGTAGTCTGATCTGCATTTGTAAATGAGGACAAAAGTGCCAGACTTGTCCAGAATCTTGGAACTTTCCTGTCACATACCATGTATCCTGCCACTCCTGATGTGCTGGGTGGAGCATGGCGTACTGGCTGTGTGGGTGATTCATGTAACAGCAGGCATTCAATAAATAATCCATTCAATTATATTACTGAAGATGAATGTTGCTACCTACAGGCCTCTAGTTTTCTTTTTTTCTGGCACGTCCCCTCTGGGCTTTTCTCAGAGACTTTCTTTCCCCAGAAACTCCTGCCCCTTCCGCAAAGACTCCAGGGCACAATATCTGCACCTCAGCTTCACTCAGTCAGGAGTCTGTTTGGCTCAAGCTGAATGCCTATGGGTATGTGCCCTTTCTCACATCCAGGATTTCTCCTGGACTGGGGAGGCTGTGCTCCTCTATTGGGCTCCAGGTGGCAGGATGGTGCTCCTCCTGGCAAACACACCAGGAGTCTCTGCTGTCCAGCTCCCGCCTCTCCCCACCCTTGGCCCGCCTCCTCCTCGGGTTTCACAGCCCTGGACACAGTACACAGAGCCCAGAGGCTCAGCCAGCAGGGAAACCAAAGGACCTGCCTGGGTTCCCATGGCCATGGCCAGCACCTACATCCCGGGGCTCAACCCTCAGAATCCTCATTATATCCCAGGGTAAGACCCCTACCCAGGGCACACCCTGCTCGCTTCTGGGAAGGTGGCTGTAGGGGATAGAGTTGTGGGTCACTGAGGCCTTGGGGTCACATGGAAACATTGGTTTGAGAGACCAGGGCTGGGACATGCACTGTACCGGAAAGGGAGAAGGAAAAGCAAGGGAATAGCATGGCTGGGTCTGTCACAAGGCTTGTGTTGTTTTCTCCATGGAAACAGGGTAATAGTGAAAAGGAAGAACTCAAAGCTCAGGCAGACGAGTTAGAAATGCCTGCTACAAGTATACATACCACTGAGTGGAGAAATCAGTTTTAGAGGTGTCACTTGTCTTGGGGACAGTGTGGAGGGAGATTCTGGGAGTGAATGACTGTCTTATGCTACAGGTATACCGGACACTGCCCACTGCTTCGGTTCAGCATGGGCCAGACCTATGGGCAGGTGACTAGTCAGCTACTTCGGGGCCCTCCTGGTCTAGCCTGGCCACCTGCCCAGCGCACACTTCTGCCTCCCATTCAGCCTCCAAGATCTCCTGAGCTTCCCAAGTGCAGCCTACCCACCGGGTGCAGGCACAGAAGGCTGGGCTCCAGCATGATTCCTGGGTACACAGGTATGAACAGGTACCCCCAACCTAGAGTACGTGTCCCAGACACTAATGTATCTTCCTTGCCTCTGCTTGCCAGGTTTTGTACCCCGGGCACAGCTTATCTTTGCCAAGAACTGCAGCCAGGTCTGGGCTGAGGCTCTGAATGATTTTACTCTGTGGCATGGGGACCAAGGGAGTCAAGGACTAGCAAAGGAGACCAAGGGAGACAAAGACCAAGAGCCAAATCCAGAGCCAGAGCTGGCAGAAGAAGAGGTGCCAGAGCTGAAGCTGGAGCAAGTGAGAACAAAGGCAGGTGGAATGGGAGGTGGGGAGCCCAGAGGGCTTGGGAAGGGTTCTTGGGCTCTGCGTCTGGGGGTTATTAGGGTCCCTGAAGCCATTAGCATGCACAGGGCCTCAGTTTTGGCTGCTTCCAGCAGTCTGGAGTTTGAGTTGGGGTCAACGTCACATAGGGCCATGGCCACTGTGACTATGGATACAAGGGGTGGGGCTTGATTGCAGCTCCCCACCGCTGGGGACTGTTTCAGCATAAGGGCTGAACTCGACAGGCCTATTTTTCCTCTATTGACCTCACTCACAGGTTTTACCCTACTCCATGGATGACGCAGACCCCCAGAAGTTCTTCATGTCAGGTGAGGGGGAGGTGAGAGTGGCCAAAGGTGTGGAGAGGTTCCTCGCCCACGTCCTGACTCTGCATCCCCACGCCTCAGGCTTCACTGGCTACGTGCCCCGTGCCCGCTTCCTCTTTGGCTCCAGCTTCCCTGTGCTCACCAACCAGGCACTGCAGGAATTCGGGCAGAACTACTCAAAGGGCAGTGCCCAGCAAGATCCCAGACCTTTGCCCCCGCTTCCCAGGACCTACCTGCAGAATCTTGGACTTCTCCCTCACTATGGAGGCTATGTGCCAGGTGAGAGGAAGCTGAGGGGGCTTGGGAACTGGACTGCCTGGGTGAGTATGGGGGTATGGGCGTGGCATGGGGGACTGCAATAAACAGATACGAGGGGATCTTGGACCATATCTGTGCAGTGATTCAGCTTTATCACTATACAGAAAAGGAACCTGAATTGTTCATAGTGGTGAGTTAGACCAGATCTTACCCAGTAGTATAGAGGGTCCAGGCAACTGGCTGAGAACTGAATGGCTTCTTCATGCCACTGGCTATATGTGACAAACTCTCTTGGCTACACAGGGTATAAGTTCCAGTTTGGCCACACATTTGGGCATCTAACCCATGATGATTTGGGCCTGAGCACCTCCCAGAAGCAACTCCTGGCTTAGGTACCTGGTCTTCAAGTTCTTTCTTTTTCATCCTATCCCAGCCAGCTCTTGGAAGGGAAAGGTGGGCACAAAGGTGGTTGTGGGGGTTAAAAAGAAAACAGTTTGGAGGCTGAGCACCTTTTTTATTAATAGATGTAATAAATAAATAAATACATAAACAGAAGCCTGGGCTCCTTCTCCCTCTTCTGATGACCACGCACTGGTCACAGCCTATTTACAGTTTAGGGGGCTTAGAAATCTGGCCCCAATACTGTTACCTATCCTCATTACTTTTTTTTTTTTTCCCATCCTCATTACTATCTGGCATAGAGAACCTTACAAATGGCTTTCTTGGCTACCTCCCTCTGTAGGGACTTGCTGGTATACACCCATGGAAGGGTTGGCCCAGATGGGTCGAGGAAATCCTGGCAGCCCAGTGCTATATCCCTTCCCTCCCTTCCTGGGTGGAGGTCTGGACATAGTCACTAGGACAGTTAAATGGGAGTAATTAATACTGAGCACAGGGAGCAGATGCCAGCACAGGGATATGTGGCCCCCAGCTCTCAGTCAATTTTACATAGCCAAGCCAGAGGGCTTGGGAAGGGTTCTCGGGCTCTGAGTCTGGGGGTTATGAGGGTCCCTGAGGCCATTAGCATGCACAGGGCCTCAGTTTTGGCTGCTTCCTGCAGTCGGACTTGGAGTTGGAGTCAATGTCACATAGGCCAGAGGCACCAAGCCAGTGTCAGGGCCCCGGCTGCAGCGCAGCCAGTCTCCTCCGGCTGGCCCCAGCACCCGTAGGATATCTCCCTTGCGGAAGCTCAGCTGTCCAGGGCCTGTGGCCAGGTGATGGCACAGTGCCTGCACCTCACTGGAAAAATAAAGGTCAGAAACGGAAGTGGAGGTCAGAGAAACCATATCAAAAGCCAAGCCCAGTTCCCCAGCCCTCCATTTCCCAGGGCTCACCAAGGAGGTTGGGAAGGTAGGGCTGGAGAGTGTGGTTCTTGTAGGCTCTCCTTTGGCTCTGGCTCCCGCCGAGCACCCATTGTCTGTGCCACTAAATGGAACATGGACTTGTCCAAACTCAGCCAGTCAGAGGGAAGCCTAGGAGAGAGGAGGAGAGAGAAGCTGAGCTCTGGCTCTGTCCATGCTCTAGCTTAGATTAGCCCCCACCCCTGTCTGCACCACGAAGGGTTCTCACCTATTCGTGGGCCGGACTTCTCGCTGAGCTTTTCGGGAACCAAAGAGGTGTCCCCACTTGATGCCCCCAGATGAAGGCTCGGAGGTCCCTTCCTCACTTTCTGCTGGTAGAACAGTAGGTCCCTCCCGCTCACGGCTACGCCTCAGCTCAGCCAGCACAGAGTCAGGAGGGCTCCCCATCCAGAAAGGCCAGCCCCTCTCCCGGCCAAGGGCCTCCTCAGGGGCTGGGCAGGCCTCAGCCCCCTCCACTACTCCCTCTCGTGGGGGTGGAGCTTGGGGAACCCCCCCAACTCCTGTCCCTTTCTTTTTTTCACTCCCATTGCCATTGCCGTTGCTGCTACTTCGAGGGAACCTAGAACCTTCTGTGGAGCCATCAATGTAGACCTGGGAGCTCTGCATGAGCTGATACCACCAGCCAGCCTGTCCACTTCGAGCCCACCTGCCTTGCCCTGAACCTCCAGCTGGCTCTGCCACCTCTTCTGACTCTTCCTCTTCTTCTCCACCTTCTGGGGCGCCCACACCTTTCACCCGCTCCCCATGAGTTGTCCTGTCCAAGTCTCCAGGGCCATCCTGGCCCCGGGCTCGGGCCAATTGCAATGTTGAGTGGGCAGACAGCAGCAGGTCCTGAGACACCCGAAGTAGTTCCTTGTGCTGCCGCTGCTGCTGCCCACTTTGCAGCAGCCGGTGCTGGAACAGCAAGTCGAGGCTGAAGGGCAGTAGGGCCAGGGGCTGTAGCAGCAACAGCAGCTCCTCAAAGAGGCCAGGGCACACGGTGTGAGCTGCACTCAGGAAGCCCCAGGGCTGGTAGTGGGTCTGGATGATGTCTAAGGGAAAGAGAGAGACACGGAGAAGCACACCTGGCTTGAGCAGGGTACTGAAAGGGGTGAGCCCCTGTGTGTTGCTGCCTGCGTGTCCTGTGTAATGCAGACGTGCTCCTGCAGTTGTGCAGAGCACAAGCTCTACCACCCTGTGATAGCTCTGCATGTGGAGAGGTGTTGGGATCTTGGCACCCCAGTTTCCAGATGGCGTGGGTCTCCTGCTGTCTCCCAAACTCAAGTAGAAGCTAGGAGGGACTCAGGCAGAAGTCCAAAGCTCTGAGGATGAAAGCTTACACGACCCCCTTTACCACCTCTAAAATCTGAAAAGAGTGATTCCTCTCTCCGTTGAGCCTCTGAGACCTATACTGAGTTTGTGAGACACAGTAAGCTCTGGGAATTACCTTCATGGTTAAACAGGTGATTAAACCAGAACTCCAAGGACCGGATGCTGCAGGGAGATAGGGAGAAAGAGTTGAGTCTTGTTTGGAGATGCCAGATAATAAGGTACAAGGAAAACAAGACCCAGGGGTCTGATACAAAGAAACAAGTATTGGTGAATGTCTCCTGTCCAGGGCAGGGATGCTACCTGGTCTACTGCACAGAATGTAATTCTGCAGTGTCAGTGACAATGTGGGGTGTGGGGTGAACAATGATCTATAAGCCAGCACTTTCCCCTACAATGGAGTCAGCTTGCACAAGACCCAAGAAGTCAGGTAGCTACTGAATGAAGGGACCAAAGAAGCTCAGGTGGTCACCTGGGCCCACACTTGAGAAAGAATACTCCAATGTGGGTTCTGACAGGAGCTTAGGGTTCCAGCATGATCTGTAAATAGAGCTCAAGTTGACAGGATCAGGGCTCACAAGATCCAGAGAAACTGAGAAACCCAATTAATTTCCAAATAAGCCAGGTTAAGGAATACCATGCTGGTGAAGACCATGCTGGTGATCAGCATCAGAGCAGCGCTGTAGAGGGAAACGGCTCCTACTGGGCTGTAGCTAGGTGGGGAGAAAGTGAGCCTGAGCCCTAGCACAAACCCTGCAGGTCCACCACTACTGTCTGTCAGGGAGCTGCTTCCTTAGGCAGGCAGAACCTGGTGGGAGGCTGCTTAGGACCTCTTACTGCTCCACACACTCACTTGAGCAGGCCAAGGATGAAAGCATTGAAGCGCATGGTATGACTGGTGAGCTCTGGGAATTGGCTGACTTTGTTGTACAGGCCATGCAGGACCTTGGTGGATGGGCCTAGAAAGAAGACAAGGTTGTAGGATTACAACTTCTGGAACCCTAGAGTCAGTCTAGCGTCCCCATCTCACCACCTAGCCCTTACCCAGCTGTGTAGAAGCTTCAACCACACTCCACGGCATGTTCTTGCGTTGTCCAATGATGACATCTAGTACAAAGGCCTTAAGCCCATCCTCTAGCACAGCCTGGACTGCAGGGCACAAGTACTTGAGAACAAGGTGGCCGACGTTGGGGCTCACAGAACTGTTTCCCAGCTTTGCCTACAGGTGCAGTAAGGAAGTTCAGAAAATCCTGGTAAGCAAGCCTCACTTTGGTTCTCCCCTAGACAGTCCTCTATTTCTCCTCTTGGCACCCCACTCCTGAGTTCCAACTCTGTGCTATAAGTACAAGAGAGCAGGGGAAGGTGGCAGCACACAACAATGAGGGTCTACTTGGCAAAGCACAGCTCTGCACATTTTCTTGCCTACCTTTACCCCAGGATCCCGGCTTGTGCCAAAATGGGCCACAATGAGGTCCACAGCAGTATTGACAGCTTTTACCAGTCCTGAAAAGAACAATTTGATGTGTCATGTGTCTGAACAAGACCCTAGCTAACTCAGGAGCCCTTGGTGGCATGGGGACGTGCTCCCCAACTTACTTGCAATCCTCACCCATGTCCTCAGTTCTCACAGAGATTTCCAGGACTGGCCTTATGTTTGTGCCACTTCTAGTCACCCCTGTCTCTACCTTCTAGCTTGGACCCACCTCAGTGCTAACATTGTCAAGACCCTCTACTTCAGTAGTGTAGCTGCTGATGGGAGCACTCACAAATCAATAGCTTTCCTGTACATGAATAATAAATTCACAGAGAGAAATTATGGAAACAGCACCTTTCACAATAGTGTCAAAAAAAAAAAAAAAAAAAA